GTCCCTTTTCAGCAGGAAGTAGCTAAGAGAATATGCCGTCCCCTTTTCCTTATGAATCAGGGTGAAGTCTCTCTCAGGGAGGAGTGATAGGGAATGGCAAAGGACACACTGACAAATGATATTAATCAGAACTGGCTTTGACAAGCACTGTGGCAACTGGACAATTCAAACCGACTTTCAAAGGGGAAAAAAGGAGGAATGAACCGGGAAGGAGGGTAGAGAAAATAGTGCAACAATGAATGAATGGAAACCCAAAATCTTTGTAAATGTTCATTAAAATTAATAAAATTTAATTTAAAAAATTTATATCCCACCTACAACCAGGAGAAGTAAAATAGATGAATAGGACCTTCTAAGGATCAAATCCCTATGCATATCCAAAACCTTCTCCAACAGGGTAAAAAGGGAAGGCACAAACCGGGGAAAAAAGTATTTGGTAATGACATGTGAGATAAGGGACTTATATCTAGAATTTATAAAATACTTCAGCACCACAACAAGATAAAGGTAAACAATCCAATTGAAAAATGGGTACAGGATATGAACAGACACTTCACCAAAGAAGACATTCAGATGGCTAACAAGCACATGAAGAAATGTTCAAATCCCTAACTCTAAGAGAGATTTATATCAAAACAACTATGAGATACCATCTCACACCAGTAAGAATAACAAAATTTGACAGAACAATTAGCAACAAATGCTGGCGAGGTTGTGGAGAAACTGGAACCCTTATTCACTGTTGGTGGAAGTGGAAAATGGTGCAACCACTGTAGAAGGTGGTATGGCGCTTTCTCAAAAAGTTGCAAATAGACATACCATTTGACTCAGCAATTCCACTACTGGGAATATACCCAAAGAGACCATAACTGACACGCAAGCAGATGTATGCACACCCATGTTTACTGCAGCTTTGTTCACAATCGCAAGGAATTGGAAACAACCTAAGTGCCCATCAACAAATGAATGGATAGAGAAGCTGTGGTATATTCACACAATGGAATACTACGCTGCATTGAAAACAAGGAACTCATGCAATATTATTCAAAATAGGTGACCTTGGAGGACATTATGCTGCGTGAAGTATCTCAGTCACAAAAGGACAAATACTGCATGGTGCAACGATTATAAAACAGGACTGACATCAGGGTTGAGGGAGACCAAGAAAGATGGGTTCAACAATGTATACTGCATTGAAATAGATGAGGGAGAAAACTGTTTAAAAGGGATATGTGATTAGGTATTTTTGTCATGAAAGGAGTCCAGAATGAAGGGTGCATAGTGGACCTGGAGGAAGGATTGTAAAACAATGAAAGAATGTTTCTTTTGCTTTTCTAAGAGGGGAGTGTACTGGGGGGGGAGGGTTGGCAGGGGAGAAAAGTGCAACAATGAATGAATGGAAATCCAGTCTCTCTAAATTTTCATTGAAATTAATAATATTTTTTTAAAAAATATTTTATATCACTGGAATAGCCTCAATTGACAAAATTTGTCAAGTGTGAGTGAAAAACTGTTTATCATTAGAAAACTTGCTGGATAATCTTTATAATACACAAATAATTAGATAGAAAAAAGAATGAGTTTAATCTCCTTCACTCTAAGGGGAGGCAACTCTCGTAGTATGTTTTACCACTGTTTATTAGTACATAATAACCTGTTTCCAGAGTTTTAGTTTTTCTTAAATTAATTTAAACAACACAATGATTTTAGTAGCAATCTTCGTTACAGAAGTAGAAATTTGCTTTGTGTAGCTGAGATAAAAAGTAAAAATAAAAAAAGCTTTTAAAACAATTTCAACATTTCTGTCACTTAATTAGAACTTGATAATTAGTAATCAGACTAATTTGCAAAAAGACTCTTTCAACATATTTTAATGATAAAACGGCCTTAGAAACAAATTTTAAGATTTTACCTGGGAATCTTCCTGAAAAGGAGCCTAAACCAATGAATTTTAGTCATCTATATAATACTTCTTGGCTTATTATTTCTGTAGTTTCCATGGAGAAGGTTACCAGTGTTATACTTCTGATTGTATACATATAATATACATATAATGTTTTGAGTGTGTGTATGTATTTATTTCTGATTCTATGTTTTAACTTACATTAAGTTTTAGAATCTAATAGTAAATAACAGACACATACCACTAGAATTAAGTTTACGGTGGATTTTGTCAGTAATCTAAGGTTTTGATAACTGATTAATGGGACTGAAGTTCATTGTTAGATTTTAAATTCAATAAAATGTGAAAAAAATAAATCTTAAAGGTGTCTGTGTGTTCAATATTATCTTGATGTTTGATAATCTTAATTTTTAAGAGTTTTCTTTAAAAATCATTAATTTTACTTTTATGTACAGAATTATAGTAAAATTTATTTTTAGCTATTGAGCTCAAAAAAGGTAGTATATTTGAATAAAAAAAAATACATTACCCAAAATCAAATTTTAAAAGGTGCACTCTTCCACAAAATATTAAAAGCAAGTAAACTATATTTAAGACACATTTCAGACTATAGTTACTCTGTCAAATGCCACAGTTGAAGTGAACATCAGTTATATCTGCACACAGTAAAGTTCTTTTCATACTACTCTCATGCAGTGCATGCAGCTAAATATAGTTTATGAAAAGCAACCCGCTTTCCGGTGCTTAGCACTTATTGTTCAGAAGACTTGACAGAAATATTAACTGTTAATAGGAAAGGTAGTTAGCTGTGGAAAAAGACCTGGCATACCCATCATGAAGAATAAAATAATGAAGGAATATACTGAATTACCTCATTATTCTATCACCTATTGTTGTTCCTCTGATATGAAATCTAGTGAAGGGAACACAATAACTAAAGTCACTCACAAAGACGTCAAAGAATCAAGTAATTAAAGCATTAAAGTCATTGCTTTATCATTATAAAATGAGTTTTTGCTTCCCTTTGTGATTTAGAAAATCAACTGAGGAATAAATCATTCAACTCAATGTGCAAGGAGAAATTAAGTCAACAACAACCCTTAATGAAGACAGATTGGAAAGAAGATACTTCATTTAATCCCTTTTCCTTTTAAACTAAGCACTGTCAGTACGGGGAACGCACTGACGCACTTATGCACTTATTTGTGAGCAATATCACCAGGAACACCTACGTTATGCTCCTTAAGGCTGAGCTGCTCTTTAGGAGATAAAAAAAAATAAGCCGGGAATTGACTCATTTGGTCTGACTATAATAAAACAAGCAAAGGCTTTTAGCTCCTTAGGGAGCCAGTTCTTTCTCTTTGATTAATTTCCTCCCTCTGCAATTTTCTTTAATAGTGAATAAACAAAAGTCATTAGAAATGCAGATCACATGGTTTAAATGATGACTGAATAGATTCTAGGAAAGGTACAATATATCAAAATTGTGGTTTTAAGAATGAAGGTGATGTTCCAATAACTCCCAAATAGGTATATGGAACAATTATTTCTAGCAAATAATTGTCTTTTTTAAAGGATGTGATTAATAGATTAAAAACCTTAATCTTCAAAGGAGAAAAAAAACCCCAAGCAAACATTATCAGAGCATCTTAATTAATAAAATCACTAAAAATGAACCAAAGCTGTGAGGTCTTCTTCAAAGGTCTTACTCAGATGCTTCTTTTTACAGAGAGTGATTCATAGTTTTTCTCTAGGTTGTGGCAGTTCATGAAAGCTCTCATGAACTCTCATACCATTTACTGCAGGATGGCTTTGGCACTGGGAACAGTATGTGAACATCACCTACACAGAAAAACCTCACCACTCTAAAAATAGGTTTGGAGGTAAATTTTGCTCAAAAGACACCTCCTTAGGTTTCTAAAATCTATTATGTAAGATTTCTGAGGGATGTTGTTGTTGTCTATCATCAATTGAGAACAGACAAGTGAGAACCGTCCAGTGGTTTTTCAGAGACAGTTAATTTCAGGGGAGATTACCCATCTTTCTTCTGTGAAGCAGCTGGTGGATTTGAACCACATACCTTTAGGTTGCCAGTGCAACTCCTTACCACTAGGCCACCAAAGTTCCCTTTAAGGAATATATGTAATAATTTGATTTCATGTTCTTTAAAATATTACAAATAGTGCACTTTAAAAAAAAAATACTGTCTTTAAAAATTTATTTCCCATTCAATTTTGTTGCTTAAACCAGAGTTAAAGAGATTCTAATATTTGGTGATGCATAGATTTCATTGTCTCAAACTTTGGATTTCCAGAAGTAGAACTATTTTCCTACAACTTACAATAAGACCAATTTGTTATGAAACATTATTGCTATTGTGTACTAGTGAGTGAGAACCAATCCATAGCTGACCTTGCAGCAGGTTTCCAGAGGCAGTAAGTAAATCACACAGGAGATTGCCTATCCTTTGCCACAATTTCTTATGGAACAGATATCAGTAAATTATGGCCCTTGGACCAAATCTAGCCACCTACTAGGTGTTTTGTTTGTTTGATATTATTTTTAAATGTTTTGCGGGTACATAATTGTTTTAAGAGATATATATATATGT